TGCTATTTGGGTTCTGCTTGCTAAATAGCATCGAAGCAACTCCAGATCACACAACCAATAGCAGGCTATTTTGCACCCTTGGCAAGGCAAACTGCTTGCGGCAACGCACATCTCTCCAAAAGGCCATTTTCAAACATGGAAGTCTTCCGAAATAAATTAAAATAGCATTCACTCAACACTACAATGAAATAATTCGTATCCTCGCTCTCCAAAGGAGATGTTTCAGCATACAAATCATTTGGAATAACCTTGAGGTGTTAAAATGACCACTTTCAGCTTTCAGTCCACCAAAACTCCTCTTCTATGGGTCTTTTCCTCTGCACATGTTGTTCCCCTCAAAGCCCACTTGAAATAAAATGTCTCCTTGGCACCGGCCTTTTCATACACACAAACAACACAGCAGAGCCAGAAAAGGCATAGTATCAGAAGGAGGCACCTCTCTCGTTGCCCTTGATACCAATGCAAAGTAACTTTTGCCAGCACTGAGGACTGAGCTACCACTCTGTAGACCAGGATTTGGTCCAAAGCTCGGCTACGGAAACCTACTGAGTGACCTTGGGTGAACCACACTCTCTCAGCCTTAAAGGAGCCCCATGAAAGGGTCACCTAAGGTTCACCATAAGTTAGGGAGGAGTTATAATGCCACCCCAAACTACCACTGGCTGGGAAAATGCCAAGAGCTGCCGTAAAGGAGCCTGGAAAGTCATAATTACGCTGGAAGAGCATTGGAGAAAGAGGGAAACGCTCATCTTGGGTATCAAGGGAGGAAAAAAGAGCCCAATGGATTTCTGTATCCACTGGGGTTTGGTTCCAGAACCTGAGTGGGTACCCAAATCCATGGATGCTCAAATCCCATTCCATACAAATGGTATCTTCTGGAATAAGTAAAGGTAAAGGTTTTCCCCTGACATTAAGTCCAATCTTGTTCAACTCTGGGGTTTGGTGCTCATCTCCATTTCTAAGCTGACGAGCCGGCGTTGTCCATAGACACCTCCAAGGTCATGTGGCCGGCATGACTGCATGGAGCACCATTACCTTCCCGCCAGAGCAGTACCTATTGATCTACTCACATTTGCAAGTTTTCCAACTGCTAGGTTGGCAGAAGCTGGGGCTGATAGTGGAAGCTCACGCCGCTCCCTGGATTTGAATCTGCAACCTTTCGGTCAACAAGCTCAGCAGCTCAGCACTTTAACCCACTGCGCCATCAGGGGCATTATATTATATTATACTAGCCTTCCCCTGCCATGTGTTGCTGTGGCCCAGTCTAACATTACATTTTTATTTATATAGATTACATTATGTTATATTACTAGCCATTCCCTGCCATGCATTGCTGTGGCCCAGTTCTGTTGTTCATGGGGTTCAGAATGCTCTTTTATTGTCGGTGAACTATAAATCCCAATAACTACAACTCCCAAATGTCAAGGTCTATTTTCCCGAAACTCCACCTTGTGGACATATGGAATATTCGTGCCAAGTTTGGTCCAGATCCATCATTGTTTAAGTCCTCAGTGCTCTCTGTGTATGTGTTTTGTGTTTATATACTATATATGTGTATATGTATGTGTATATATCTGTGTATATGTGTATTTATGTGGTTACGCATGAATACACATGTGGTTATGCTGAAGCCCCCAGTGGTGCAGTGGGTTAAACTGCTGAGCTGTTAAACTTGCTCACCAAAAGGTCGCAGGTTCAAATCCAGGGTGCGGCATGAGCTCCCGCTGTTAGCCCCAGCTTCTGCCAACCTAACAATTAGAAAACATACAAATGTGAGTAGATCAATAGGTACCTCTTCGGCAAACTACGTGCCATGCAGTCATGCCGGCCACATGACCTTGGAGGTGTCTATGGACAATGCACCAGCTCTTCGGCTTAGAAATGGAGATGAGCACCCCCCCCCCCCCCGAGTCGGACACGACTGGACTTAATGTCAGGGGAACAATGTGGTTATGTGCATGCATTGTAGTGGGGTTTTTTTTTGCTTTTTAAGCCTCTTCTGCTGTGTTTTTCACTGTTTTATGAGCAATGGTCACTCGTTGACCTCATAGGTGTATGCTGTCCAAATTTGGCGTCAATTCGTCCTGTAGTTTTTGAGTTATGTTGATCCCATAAACTAACATTACATTTTTATTTATATAGATTACATTATGTTATATTACTAGCCATTCCCTGCCATGCATTGCTGTGGCCCAGTTCTGTTGTTCATGGGGTTCAGAATGCTCTTTTATTGTCGGTGAACTATAAATCCCAATAACTACAACTCCCAAATGTCAAGGTCTATTTTCCCGAAACTCCACCTTGGACATATGGAATATTTGTGCCAAGTTTGGTCCAGATCCATCATTGTTTGAGTCCTCAGTGCTCTCTGGATGTAGGTGAACTACAGCTCCCAAACTCAAGGTCAATGCCCACCAAACCCTTCTAGTGTTTTCTGTTGGTCATGGGAGTCCTGTGTGCCACATTTGGTTCAATTCCATCGTTGGGGGAATTCAGAATGCTCTTTGATTGGAGGTGAACTATAAATTACAGGGGCGGTTCAACCCATTACGCAAAGTAAGCATTTGCAGAATAGTTGATTTTGCCCAGGGGTGCTCTTGAGGCACTCTTGGGGGAAAATAGACCTTGACATATGTGAGTTGTAGTTACTGGGATGTATAGTTCACCTACAATCAAAGAGCATTCTGAACTCCACCAATGATGGAATTGAACCAAATATGGCACACAGAACTCCCACGACGAAGAGAAAATATATATCAGTGATTGGTTGGGGGGGGGGGGGCCAAAATACTGTTTGCTTACTGTTGAAAATTACCTAGGACCGCCTCTGACTATAAATCCCAAGAACTACAACTCCCAAATGACAACATTTAAAAAATTGAGTGAAGGGCATACATTGGGTTGTTAGGTGAATGCTATACAAATTTGGTGTCAATTGGCCCACTGGTTTTTGAGTTCTGTTAATCCCACAAACGAACATTATATATTTATTTATATGTATAATAAATAATATATTTTATATTTATACACACACACAGGGGCGGCTCAACTGATTACGCAAAGTAAGCATTTGCAGTATAGTTGATTTTGCCCAGGGGCGCTCTTGGGGAAAAATAGACCTTGACATATGCGAGTTGTAGTTACTGGGATGTATAGTTCACCTACAATCAAAGAGCATTCTGAACTCCACCAATGAACAGAAAATATATATCAGTGATTGGTTGGGGGGGGGGCAAAATACTGTTTGCTTACCGTTGAAAAGGAGCCCCGGTGGCGCAGTGGGTTAAACCCCTGTGCCGGCAGGACTGAAGACCGACAGGCCACAAGTTCGAATCCGGAGAGAGGTGGATGAGCTCCCTCTAACAGCTCCAGCTCCTCATGCGGGGACATGAGAGAAGCCTCCCACAAGGATGATAAAAGGTAAAGGTAAAGGTAGTCCCCTGACATTAAGTCCAGTCATGTCTGACTCTGGGGTGTGGTGCTCATCTCCATTTCTAAGCCGAAGAGCCAGCGTTGTCCGTAGACACCTCCAAGGTCATGTGGCCGGCATGACTGCATGGAGCGCTGTTACCTTCCCGCCGGAGCGGTACCTATTGATCTACTCACATTTGCATGTTTTCGAACTGCTAGGTTGGCAGAAGCTAGGGCTGACAGCTGAAGCTCACGCCGCTCCCCGGAATCGAACCTGCGACCTTTCGATCAACAAGCTCAGCAGCTCAGTGCTTTAACCCACTGCGCCACCGGGGGCTCCCACAAGGATGATAAAAACATCAAATCATCCGGGCGTCCCCTGGGCAACGTCCTTGCAGACGGCCAATTCTCTCACACCAGAAGCAACTTGCAGTTTCTCAAGTCGCTCCTGACACGACCAAAAACCCTTGAAAATTACCTAGGGCCGCCTCTGCACACACACACACAATACACACACATAATTTCCAAATACAATCTTTCTCCTTTCCTCCTCCACACTTTCCTCCAGCAAAATGACATGCAAACCCTTAGGAAGAGCCTCCATCCTTCTGTTGTAGGCTCCCACTCCTCCAAGAGACCCTCAGGACAACCCACGCCATCGCATTCCCTTCACCGTGGGATTTGTATTATCATTTTCCCTGATAGTTTTCCCTGCAGGAAAATTAAAAACCAAGGAAACCCAACCTGGATGATGAATGAATGGGACTTTAGGTTCTTGTGGGGTTTTTTGGGCTATAGAGCCATGTTCTAGAGGCATTTCTCCTGACGTTTCGCCTGCATCTATGGCAAGCATCCTCAGAGGTGTTTCTAAATTGGCTATATGGCCATGTCTAGAGGCATTTCTCCTGACGTTTCGCCTGCATCTATGGCAAGCATCCTCAGAGGTGGGGTTTTTTCGGGCTATAGAGACATGTTCTAGAGGCATTTCTCCTGACGTTTCGCCTGCATCTATGGCAAGCATCATCAGAGGTAGTGAGGTCTGTTGTCTTATGAGCTCTTATTGCCCCACCCCAGCCATTCCACAGATATATAAACACATTGTCCTAATTCCAACAGACCTCACTACCTCTGAGGATGCTTGCCATAGATGCAGGCGAAACGTCAGGAGAAATGCCTCTAGAACATGGCCCTATAGCCCAAAAAAACCCCACAAGAACCTAGTGATTCCAGCCATGAAAGCCTTCGACAATGAATGGGAATTTATGTCTCTCCTGCCCTATCTGGGGACTCAGGTGGCTTAGAAAACACACAAGAGGCAAGTAGAAAACATACAAAACAACATGAATGTAAAGATCAAGCTCAAGGCCTTTCCCAAACCCAACTGGTCCTCTGCTTTTGACTTTGGGCCACCCTCAAGCCTGCTCCACCTTGGAGAGAGGCAGGGAATGCAACCCCAATGCAGCAGGGAAGAGCTGGCATGCCTTGGCATCCCCCCCCCCCGACATTCCCCCTTTTTGCACCAATCCTCTGGACAGTTCCCAAGGCAGGCAAGAAGGTCAGCTCCTTCTTCTCCATCCTTTTTAGCTCACCAGGTAAGCTCCCACCGTGCCTTGGGCCAGCATCAAGGCGCATTCCGAGACCAGGAAGATCTGGATGTTGGTGAAGCACCAGGCACCGCCCGGGCGCTTGGCTTCGGGGCCCGGCGGGTCCCCTTCGGGGGGCTTCTTGCCCGGCATCCTCCTCCTCCTCCACCTCCTCCTCCTCCTCTTCGTCGCCTCCTTTTGGCCCCAGCCCGGGCTACCGAGGCGCCCCCGGGGGCGAGTGCCGGCAGCAGCTCCCTTTGGGCATCCCCAGCCAGATCGCCGCCTCCAGCCCGGCCGACGCCGCCCGCACCGCTGCCATGGCCCGCTCCCTCCCCTCCTCCTCCTCCTCCTCCTCCTCTTTCTCCTTCCCTCTCTCTCTCAGCCTGCCTTCCTCTCGCTTCTCTCCTCCCCTCTTCTCCAGCTCCGGAGGGGAGGAGGGAAGGAAGGAAGGAGGGAGGAAGGAAAGAGAGGAGGGAGGGAGGGAGAGAGGAGGAAGGAAAGAAAGGAACGAAAGGAGGGAGGAGGGAGGAAAGAAAGGAAGGAGGAAGAGAGGAGGAAGGAAAGAGAGGAAGGAGGGAGAGAGGAGGAAGGAAAGAAAGGAAGGAGGGAGAAAGGAGGAAGGAGGGAGGGAGGGAGAGAGGAGGAAGGAAAGAAAGGAACGAAAGGAGGGAGGAGGGAGGAAAGAAAGGAAGGAGGAAGAGAGGAGGAAGGAAAGAGAGGAAGGAGGGAGAGAGGAGGAAGGAAAGAAAGGAACGAAAGGGGGGAGGAGAGGAAAGAAAGGAAGGAGGAAGGAGGAGGAGGAAAGAGAGGAAGGAAGAGAGGAGGAGGAAAGAGAGGAGGAGGGAGAGAGGAGGAAGGAAAGAAAGGAAGGAGGGAGAAAGGAGAGGAAAAGGAAAGGAAGGAAGGAGGGAGAGAGGAGGAAGGAAAGAGAGGAAGGAGGGAGAGAGGAGGGAGGAAAGAAAGGAACGAAAGGAGGGAGGAGGGAGGAAAGATAGAGGAAGGAGGAAGAGAGGAGGAAGGAAAGAGAGGAAGGAGGGAGGAGGGAGGAAAGAAAGGAAGGAGGAAGAGAGGAGGAAGGAAAGAAAGGAACGAGAGGAGAGAGAAGGAAGGAAAGAGAGGAAGGAGGGAGAGAGGAGGAAAGAAAGGAAGGAAGGAGGGAGAGAGGAGGAAGGAAAGAGAGGAAGGAGGGAGAGAGGAGGGAGGAAAGAAAGGAACGAAAGGAGGGAGGAGGGAGGAAAGAAAGGAAGGAGGAAGAGAGGAGGACGGAAAGAGGAAGGAGGGAGAGAGGAGGAAGGAAAGAAAGAAAGGAAGAAGGGAGAAAGGAGGAAGGAAAGGAAGGAAGGAGGGAGAGGAGAAGAAGGAGGGAGAGAGGAGGGAGGAAAGAAAGGAACGAAAGGAGGGAGGAGGAGGAAAGATAGGAAGGAGGAAGAGAGGAGGAAGGAAAGAGAGGAAGGAGGGAGGAGAGGGAGGAAAGAAAGGAACGAGAGGAGGGAGGAGGGAGAAAAGAAAGGAAGGAGGAAGAGAGGAGGAAGGAAAGAAGGAAGGAGGGAGAGAGGAGGAAGGAAAGAAAGAGGAAGGAGGGGAGAAGGAGGAAGAAAGGAAGGAGGGAGAGAGGAGGAAGAAAGAGAGGAAGGAGGGAGAGAGGAGGGAGGAAAGAAAGGAACGAAAGGAGGGAGGAGGGAGGAAAGAAAGGAAGGAGGAAGAGAGGAGGAAGGAAAGAGAGGAAGGAGGGAGAGAGGAGGAAGGAAAGAAAGAAAGGAGGGAGAAAGGAGGAAGGAAAGGAAGGAAGGAGGGAGAGAGGAGGAAGGAAAGAGAGGAAGGAGGGAGAGAGGAGGGAGGAAAGAAAGGAACGAAAGGAGGGAGGAGGGAGGAAAGATAGGAAGGAGGAAGAGAGGAGGAAGGAAAGAGAGGAAGGAGGGAGGAGGGAGGAAAGAAAGGAACGAAAGGAGGGAGGAGGAAGGAAAGAGAGGAAGGAGGGAGAGAGGAGGAAGAAAAGAAAGGAACGAGAGGAGGGAGGAGGAAGCCAGCTCTGCTGCTGGAGCCACTTCTCTTGTATCATGTCATTTATTATTATTATTATTATTATTATTATTATTATTATTATTATTATCATTATTATTATCATTATTATTTGGAACACAACAAGATGAGTCCACAGCAGACAAGCTCACTCTGCTGGCTGCTGTATATTATTATTATTATTATTATTATTATTATTATTATTATTATGTGTATATGAAACACAACAAGATGAGTCCACAGCAGACACAATCACTCTGCTAGCTCTTCAATTGTATTATTATTATTATTATTATTATTACTATTATTATTATTACTATTATTATTATTTGAAACACAGCAAGATGAGTCCACAGCAGACAAGCTCACTCTGCTGGCTGTTGCATTGTATTATTATTATTATTATTATTATTATTATTATTATTATTATTATTATTATTATGAAACACAACAAGATGAGTCCACAGCAGACGAGCTCACTCTGCTGGCTGCTGTATTGTATTATTATTATTATTATTAATTATTATTATTATTATTATTATTATTATTATTATTATTATTAGAAACACAACAAGATGAGTCCACAGCAGACAAGCTCACTCTGCTGGCTGCTGTATTGTTGTATTATTATTATTATTATTATTATTATTATTATTATTATTATTATTATTTGAAACACAACAAAGATGAGTCACCAGCAGACAAGATCACTCTACTGGCTGTTGCATTGTATTATTATTATTAATTATTATTTGAAACACAACGAGATGAGTCCACAGCAGACAAGGAAATGATGAGAAAAAAATGGGTAGAGGTATTATTCAAATAGTATAATTATATAATAATTGTATTATTATATAATTAATGCAATAATAATTAATAACAAATGAAATACTAATAAATAAAATCTAGAATAAAAAGAAATAAAATTATTAATAATGTTAATAATGTTAATTTTATTTCTTTTCTTGTTTAGTTCTGTTTCATTTGGGGGGGGGGGGGGGAGTCCACAAGAGGGCACTAGACAGAGAAGGATAGTCCATTTTACAGGGTGGAGGGTGGGTTGAAAGAGTTAAACCATTTCCCTTTTTTCCTGTTATTTTCCCTACCCATGTTGCCATTGTCAAAACTACAATCGTTTATGAAATGGGAAGTGGGGAGGGCGAATAACCAGAAAAAATGGCAAAACTGCTTTCGTCCTTCAACTCTCCCTCCCCACATAAAATGGACTATCCTTATCTGTCTAGCGCCCCCTTGTGGCCTCCACTCGGATATTTATTTATTATTATTTTATTAATGTTTATGGAACAGTACCATAAACATTAATAAAATAATAATAAATAAAAATATAGAATAAAAAAGAGGGGTCCAGAGAAGGGAGATCCAAATGATCCATACTTTTGGAAACTATGGATCTGGGGAAAGGCTTAAGGGAGCTAGGGATGCTGAGCTTGGAGAAGGGGATCTGAGAGCCATGTTTAAATATCTGAAAAGGTGTCACATTGAGGACCATGATTGACCTTTGATGTCGCCTTGTGCCCTCTTTCTCCACCTGGTAGCATTACTTTAGTTGTCATGGCTCCATGCTTGAAACTGTAGCTTGGCGAGGCTCCTGCACCATTTAGCAAAGAAGACTAAAGACCCTACAAAACCACAACCCCAAGGATTCTATAGCATTGAACCATGGCAGGTAAAGTGGTGTCAAACTGCATTAATTCTACAGTGTAGATGCATGCCAAGTCTCCAAAGTACTGGCATAGAGTGTGGGTACCTTGCCACAAGCATCCTTTCCAGCCTTCCTTGCATGGATCTGATTCCAATTTTCTCAAGCCCCTTGGAGTCAATTTTCCCCAATGATAAGAGAAGAATATATATATATATATATATATTCCAAAGAGAAATTATAATTAGACAGATTTCTCTCCAGGATGTTCTGAGTTTCCAGATGGTGCTTTTGAAAGGAAAGCTCTCCAAACAAAACTTGGGGCTGAAGTGAAAATTGGATTCCCACTCAAGAATCCCACAAGAGGGTGAAAACACACAGGCTCCTCCAAAAAAGCAACTTTTGTGGCTCTCCAGCTGCCATTGGCACCATCAAAGGGATTTTGATATGGCCAAAGGATCCAAGGAGGGCTAGAAATAGATCCCAATAACCTTCCCATTCTTCCGGGTCTCCTTCATTGGTGGGAGAAGAGTGAAGGACGGAAGTAAATTATCAATCTATTCCAGAGGTATAGTCTACACCAGAGCTTTCCAGACTCTTAAACCTAGGTCTTATTGAAGGATATAAGAAGAAAGGATCCCAGAAAGGGTGGTTTCTTAAGTCTGATGCCTTAAACCCAGGTCTTATTGAAGGATATAAGAAGAAAGGATCCCAAAACAGGTGGTTTCTTAAGTCGGATGCCTTAAACCCAGGTCTTATTGAAGGAAATAAAAGAAAGGATCCCAGAAAGGGTGGTTTCTTAAGTCGGATGCCTTAAACCCTGGTCTAATTGAAGGATATAAGAAGAAAGGATCCCAGAAAGGGTGGATTCTTAATTCAGATGTCTTAAACCCAGGTCTTACTGAAGGATCTGGGAACAAAGGATCCCGGAAAGGGTGGTTTCTTAATTTGGATGCCTTAAACTCAGGTCTTATTGAAGGATCTAAGGAGAAACAATGCCAGAAAAAGTGGTTTCTTAAGACTCATGTCCTAAAAATAATGGAAAGGGAAACCTGGGAAGTTCCCCCATTGCTGCCAATGGGCCAGATCTTTCCAGAGCAAAAATTGATCTTTCGGCAGCCAGATCAAAAAACAGAATTTTGCCCACCTGAATTCAGGAGTCTCCCAAAAAATGCCACTGAAATCCAGACACCAAAAATGGCATGGGGTTTAGCCGAATTGCATACCCCTACTCTCTTGTGCAATAGGTGTTTTCTCCTACCTATCATCTAGAAGCTTGTTCCATTTCAGAGTAGGAACTGACCTTGGAAAAGCTGTATATCTGGGCTGCAGTTCCCAGAATCCTCCAGCCAGCATGGTCACTTCCACATAAGCACCAGTGTACGAGACATTGATTCTTCTCCCACCCATCACAGAGCATTGCAATCCGGGATCCACACCAGGCAATGTTTAGTATGGATCGTTGTGTGAATGTGCCCTCCATTTGGCATTTAGCCTGAAGTGCCCACTTTTCATCCTAAGCACCCACTAATTGTGGCCCTCCACTAATTGTGGCATGTTCTATACAGCACTTAAATGCCAAAGAGATTAAATTAAAGCCAGGCCCAGGGCTGTGTTTGTTCTTTTGGTGAGAGATGTCCTGGGAAAATCTGATTGTGTTTTAATCAGATATCAATGAGAT